AGATTTGTTTTACAAGTTCTGTGTTTGGCTGGGCCTTTATGTTTCTGCAGGTATCTCACAACTAAGATAATTACAGATCAAATGCGTTTCCTGATCACAAAGAATATGCCCCTCCTCATGTGTGTACTCTGGGCATAGAAATACATGTGTTCATATACATCAAAATGTATCATGTGCAATATTCCTGGGATGAAGCTCTGTACAGCAAACAGTGGGGAATGAAATCATGTTGGTACTTTGTGATCCTTACGCGTCCCTTTTGCTGGTTTCTGCTGAGAGTTTTACTACAGGACGCGTTCATTGCATTTGATGTCTTCACAACTGGTCTGGTGATACTTTACTATAGCATTACACATGTTTTATAACTGGGGTAAGTTTAGTTGAGAACAAAAAGCTGAGAATTACAGTATGGTAACAGCCATCTACTGCCTGAATCATCCCATTAGTCACCAAGGGTTCCTGCCTCAGTCACCCAGAGAAAAAACCCAAAAACCTAAATCAGGCAAAGTCAGTGGCAGTGAGCAATGAGGATTTTCAGAGAGTGCCTTAAGTGCCACTCTAACCTATGCTAACAGCCACCTGCAATCCTAGATTTCCTAAAATTATCTCCATGACATAATGGTTTTACTTACTTATTGTAGCAGAAATGCTAAGTCACGGCCTGAAACAGTGATTGAACACCTGTGGGAAGGCAGGGCCCATCCAGGGGAGCTCAGGTGCAAGCAATGCCCTGCTCAGAAGGGGAGGAGCCAGGATCCACCCCTTCCCAGACCTCATCTGAAGGCTGGCAGTGAAGGGAAGGGGAGTCTGTCGAAGATTTCTGTGTACCTGAGGTAAGCAGCTTCTTTTGTTTGTTTCTGTGCCCATGGCTGTTGTATTTGAGCAAATCCTCCCTTGCTGCAGTCTACAACTTTGTTGCTCAGTTGTGGTTGCTGTGCCTTCCATTGCGTCACACTTCTTAATAGAATAATTTAAGTACCTGTAAGGCCTGTGGCAGTTCTGGGTATCAAAGGCAGATAGGCCATAAGGTAACTGAGCGTGGCTGGTTTGATGGCTACCGTATCTCATAGTGTTGAAACTTGGGGTAGCATTTTTGGATTTGTCACAGGTTTCTCTATTGAAAAAGCAGGGCTTAGCCCCAGGTATGTAGCCACCCACTCCAAATACAATCATCTTTGTTTCAAGAGGAGAAAATAATTAAGGGAGAGCTTGATTGATTATATAGTTGTCAAATATGCATTATTACTGCGTGCTGATGATATGCATCTCCTGCTTTTCATATTCAGAGCCTTTAATTTCCGTTGAATCACTTCTGTGAGAGTGGTGGCTGCTTTAGCAGTAAAGCATGGGGTCTAACATTTTTTTTTTTTTTAATAATTAAAATTGCGCATATAAATACAAACTTCCTGGAGCTTTCAGTAGTCCCTGTGTGTGTGTGAACCTCAATGTATCAGGGCCGAGCATAATGTATTTGGAGCTTATAAAAATAATTGCCAGTTACTTGTCTTCCAGAAGAACAGTTTTGTCTGAATTCATACTGAAATGGACCAAAGTGCTGGGTTTATTTTCACCTGCTAGAAAAGGCTGTCATTCTTCAGAGACACCACAAGAGGGTAGTTAAAGAGAAACTGAAATACGTATAGGCTGACAGAATGGCTATGCTGTTTTGTGCAAGGTGAATGTGGCTGTAAATTATTTTCATATGAGCCTGATCTGCAAGGAGTTCTCCTATTTCCCTGCATAAATGACAGAAATCTCAATGGTGCTGTGGCAGACGATCAGATTGGTTAGAGAGTGACCTTGCATTATCATGTTTAGTACGAGGAACCAGAAGCGGTTCTCACCCACAGCATTTGGCTAGATAAAGGTAATCATATCGTGGAGAGCTAGGCTTTAAGTGCATGGTGCTGCAGTGCAGCAACAAAGTGCATTGCTTATGTTACAGGAATAAAGCATGCTACTCTGCTGGAAACAGTACATACAGTGAGAGCCAGTGAATGTCAGTTCCTAAAAGCCTCAGCCATTCACGAGAGTAGCAACGTGTGTTTCCCACCACCTGTCATTTGGAAGGACTAACTGTAGTCAGTAGTGAACTGTTTCCTTTGGAGAAGGGAGGGGGAATGAAGATCAAGATGTGAAACTGTGTATTTAACATTGATAGACCTGTCTATTCACACCAGTAGAAATCTATGCAATGTTTTTCCCTATTCTAACATGTTCCCCCTTGCCATATCAGCAGAAAGCTAACTTATCCCCGATGTAGTTGAAGCCCTGCTGACTCCAAGGGGACTGCCTGTCTCCAGGGGCATCTCCTCAGGCAGCCTCACCAGTGAGCAACAGATTGCTGCTAAATGGCTCACACCTTCATGTGCAGCAGCTGTGAGCTTGTAGCCTAATTGGCACAGAGATAACTCTGTGCTGGAAGTTGTGTGGTGGGTGCTTGCATGGAGGTCTGAAGGGCAGTTTGTCCACAGGTGGTTGATGGGTGGCTCTCAGCACCCTATGGTGTCAATCCTTTGGGCTGCTGCCCTGATTGTAGGCAAGCAGGCCTGCTATGGGGCAGGCCAACCCCTGCAAATTGATGCTTAGCTCTGCTAGCTTCTGAGTCACCAGAGCACTTCCCGTGAAGCCAAGCAGCAAGGTGGGCTGGCAGCAGGGTGAAGAGCCATGTTAATGAGATGACAGCTCATGCCCAAGTGCCCTGTGGAGGGCAGGAGCCATCTGTGCTGCCCCATACAAGTGGGGCTTCCAGCAGAGCCAGCTGCCCTGCGGTGTTCTCCTTGTGGCACTGCTCTGAACGGTGTTTTGTTGTCAGCACACCTATGTTATGATACTCATTATGGTTTTAAATGACTCATTTTCCACTTAACTGTATCATTGCGGCTTATAGAGCGTCTGGAGCTTTGCAGCAGTAAATACATCACTGCCTGCTACAACAATATACTCATCTATTTCTTTGAAGGATTTATTTAGCAGAAGACAGTCCCGCAGGCAGGTGCATACAGATGAGGGCACGGCACCTTGCACCCATCCTGGTAGCCCACCAGTGTGGGTCGCAAAAGCATCGTGCTGCTGGCAGACCCACGGAAACTCATTTAAGGTTTTAGTATGACTCACTGCAGCTTGAATTTGGCTTTGGTTTGGGAGAAAAGGAGAGATTCCTGTCAGCTGTGTGCGAGAGACCTTGTGCTAAAGCGTCCTGTGAGGCGTTGGAGCCCCAGGGGTTGACATGGGTCTGCTCATACCTCTCACTCCTGACTGACTGAAGGAGAAGCCCCTCTAGACACTTCAATTTATTCGTTTTATTTCATTTTTCTTCGACTTCGGCCCTTCCTCGCTTAGGGAAAGCGGCTGCAGAGGGCGTTGTGGGAGAGTGAAACCGCGCGAACATGGCGGCGGGCCGCGCTCGGACGCTAGGGGGAAACCTCGGCCCGGCTGTCCGGCGCTGGCAGCAGCACATAGTCCCTAAAAATGGGATTTCTGTCTGCTTTTCCAAAGTCTCAAGCAGATCTGGCTGCTCCGCGGCTGCAAGAGAGCTCTGTGTCGGCCCGCAGTGAGCGGCAGTGTCCCGCAGGTCGTTGCCGTGCTTTCAGCAAAACTCAGCGCTTCCTGGTTCTGATTTCAGGCCCGCAAGGTGTTGGGGTAATAAAGCTCTGGTTAGGGGGTCTTTTAGTAAAGGTACTTTGAGAAATATATTCAGGAATGTAGCAGAAGAAAAGAATCTGGGGGTGTATGAGCAATAGTGCAGGGAGCAGAGCTGACCGGCCCTGGTGAGGCTGCATTCAGTGCTGGGCCCTCGCTGCAAGAAAGACATGGAGGCCCTGGAGCGGGTCCAGAGAAGGAACGGGGCTGTGAGGGCTCTGGAGCACGCGTCTGATGGGGAGCGGCTGAGGGAGCTGGGATGGGTCAGAGTGGAGCAGAGGAGGCTCAGGGGAGGCATCACTGCTCCCTGCAGCTGCCTGAAAGGAGCTGGTGGGGATGGGGGTCTGCCTTTGCTCCCAGTGATGGGATGAGAGGTGATGGCGTTAAGCTGCTCCAGGGAGATTCAGGATGGATGTTAGGAAACATTTCTCCTCTGAAAGAGCGATGCTGCAGTGGCACAGGCTGCCCAGGGAGTTCTGTGATTCAAACTGAAGTAAATGTGGAAAAAGAATGCGTCAGTACTAAGTTCATCCTTCACCTACGATAACTGGTAACATGAATAAATAGCAAGAAGGAGTAGGCATAATATACAAGGCTTTTAAAATACATTTGTTCACTTATTTGTCATCCAAAGTACCACAAGCTCCTCTGTTAGCATGTCCCCAGGTTGTCCCTCCTGGTTGCAGCCATGGAGCAGCACCTGCCTTCCAAGGCACAGAAGGACCTAACAAAGTGTGCCTGCAGCTGGGACAGGTGAAGTGGGAAAAGCATGGGGTTTCACCTCAAATAAAAGGATTGTATGTGTTCAGTGTACTAGCTGGATTCACGAGCTCTAGCAACTTAGCCATATGCCAAAGCAAAATTTACCTTTGGTTGTATAGAGATGAGCCAAGTGTGTGCTGCTCTGTAGTGTGTTTCTGTGTATGACTGTTGCAAAATTTTATCTCAAAGCAAAGAACTGGAGTACTGAGCTTTATTTCTCATCTTGCCTGATGAGGAGTCTCAAGAAGGTTACGGTGGGGATCTGTGCCTGTTTCTTCCTCTGTGATAGGATTTGCCTGCCTGCCCCCCACTTTCCTCTTGTAAAGAGTGGTTAGGTCTCTTACTGGAAATTCTGTGTGAGAGGTTTCATGGTGTAGGATTACTTCATTTTCCCTCTCTGTACTCCTCCATTGTTTTTGGTAACACTGATAAGCAAAGCAGTAACTCCATTTTGGCATATGTTTAGGTTGACTTGAATACAGAGGGATTATAGTCAAAGTGAGCATCAGATTTTAAGAATTATTCTGCAGTAAAACTAGCAGCAATATAAAGCTTAACTCTATTTGAAATGAAAAGGATTTGTTCCTTGTCTCCACAGTTTCAACTTGGCTTTGCTCTCAATGGCACCAAGATTGCTTGATAAAACAGAACATCTCCAGGAAATTCAGCAGAAAGTAGTTGGATCTCTTTCTAACCGATCACGTGAGTTTCCATTTAATCCTGGCATCCAGACTATTTGGGGGTCATTCTGAACCTTATTTTTGTGTGTGTACACTTGACAACTCCAGTTCTACCCAGGACTACCCAGTTCTACCCATTTTGGTGTGAGCTAAGCACTGTGTTAAACTGAGGAATCCGAATGAGAAGTAAGATGATAACTGCCAACGCTATACTTACCAGCAATTTATGCTTTTGATTTTTTTTTTCTTCACTTTAAATGCGTTCTGCTATTGAATGTGCAGTGAAAGACCTTTAATATTTCAAGTTGGACTCCTCAGTACAGGAAAAAGACCCCTGCAGATACGTGTGTGTGTGTGTGTGTATATATATGTACGTATTGGGCAGGAGGAACAGTAAGAGGTCAATATGATGCTAAAGTGTAGGACTTTTATCTAGAATACTAGATTTGGGGGCTTGATTTTTACAAAGGAAGATTGGTGTTCTGGTATATTTTCTTTTTGGCATGTGGCTGTCTTCAGGCAACTCTGAAGGGTTTTTTTTAATGGCTTAAGTATTGGCAAATAGGGAATAAGTGGTCTGCAAAAGTAGCTGATGGGCATAAAACATCCTCTTCCAGGGTAACGTGCTGTTTTTATGAAGATATTTATGATTTTGAGGTAAGGACTGAGGATTATTTAACATGTATATGAGCAGGATGTCTAAATAGAAATGAGCCGGAATGATCCGTATGTAGTAGAGTACCTGCCTATAAAATAATGCTTTTTTTTTTTTTTTTTTTTTTTTTTTTTTTTTTTTTTTTTTTTCCTTTAGGTAGCTTAAGCTATGTTGAAGATAATAATAAACTTTTTAAATGTTGAGCATCAGAGAAATGCCAGGAGTTTCTAAATGTGCCACAGGTAGGAAAAAACATTGTTAGAAATGTTCCTTGAAAAAGTTAGGGTAGAACAGTCTATTGCCATTCAGTAGCAGAAACTGTTGCAATCATGTTTCAAATGTGGAACGTAAAGGGAGCAGGCTATTTGGCACCATAAGAATCACAGAATTGTAGGGGTTGGAAGGGACCTCCAGAAATCGAGTCCAACCCCCCTGCCAAAGCAGGTTCCATACAGCAGGTCGCACAGGTGGGCATCCAGGCAGGTCTTGAACATCTCCAGAGAAGGAGACTCCACCACTTCCCTGGACAACTCTTCAATTCACTAAGCGACTTGCAGATTATGTAGTTTACCTAATACCAAAATAAGCCTAATTTTCCAAATTTCCTTGTTTGTAATACATTATGCTTGAATCCCCATCCTGTAGGTCTATGAAAACAATAAATTAAAAGAAGTCACTCTCCTGGGTAGAGAATGAAACTCTGTGATAACATCCAAAGACAAAACAGGAAATGTCATTGTGAGGTAATGCTGAAGGCTCAGCACCGTTGTGGTCTGAGGCTGCTTGCCAGCACAGCAAAGAGAGCTGGGACACCAGCAGCTTCAGGAAGCAGCATTCAGCCCTCCGTGAGTGCCAACGAAGCTACATGTATTCTGGAGCCAGCCAAACTTCCTAGGGCTGTTAAGTCAGGAACTGAGTTATTTGCAATAACCAGACTTTGAGGTTCCCAAAATACTGACATAAATCAGCACAGTGAACCCAAAGCAGTTTGTAATTAAGGTATTTGCCTTTGAAATCTGACCAAAGGCTCACTTCTCATATTTTCCCTGAGGCTTCCACAGACCACAGAAGGGAATGTACTGCCAGCTTTGGTAGCAACAACTTTCCTAACGTTGTTGATCCTGCAGCCCTTAAATTACCTGAAAGGGCTTTTGGTTTATATCTGCCCTGCCTGTGATGTTGTGACACCCTTGCAGTCTACTAGGTGAGCATATGGGGAAACTTGCTGCTGTTGTTGGAAGCTAGCAAATTTCCATGAAGCATCTTGGTTCATTGCCCTTTTCCCATGTTTTTGTGGAAAAATTTCAGCAGCTCTCATTCTGTCTTGTGTGTTTAGGTGGCAAACACCCCAGGGCACAGTCTGGCACATTGAATGTGTGCATGCAGCTGACTCGTAATGCCTAAAGACCACCACAAAATTCCAAATACTTAGTGAGCCTTGTATTCTTGGCTAAGGCACATCTTCCATGGTGTTACAGATCACACGTTATACCTAGCTGAAAGGACTTTGTTACTTCACTTACAACCTCATGCATCTACAATGGATGGCAAGATGGAGCCAACACTGTGCCCTATTGCCAAACTGTATCCTGGGCTGCATTAAAAGCAGCATGGCCAGCAGGGCAGGGAGGTAATCACATCCCTCTGCTTTGCACTGTGAGGCCTCCAGATGAGGAGTCCTCCACGCAGGAGAGATGTGGACCTGCTGGAGTGTATCCAAAGGAGGGCCATAAGAATGCTCCAAGGGATGACAGGCTGAGAGCTGGGGCTGTGCAGCCTGGGGAAGGGAAGGCTCCAGGGAGACCTGAGGGCAGTCTTGGTATCTAAAAAGGAGCTGTAAGAAAGGAGACAGAATCTTTGGCAGGATCTGTTTTAACAGGACAGGGAGAAGTGATTTCAAACTAAAAGAGGGGAGATTTAGACTGGATATAAGGAAAACAGTTTTTCATTGAGGGTGGTGAAGCACTGGCATGGGCTGCATGAAGAGGTGATGGATGCCCCATCCCTGGAGACATTGAAGGTAAGCCTGGGCCGTGCTCTGAGCAACCTAATGGAGCTGTGAGTGTCCTTGTTCATTGCAGGGGAGGTGGACTAAATGACTTTTTAGGGTCCCTTCCAGCTCAAACTATTCTGTTATTCTATTTGACGTCAGCCGTAGATTCCGTAGTTCATCCTTCTCCATTCCTTGGTAGGTTCCACTAACTGTGGAATGTTCTAGAGAGCAAGTATGCAGATGAGTTATAAGTGAAGAGGAGAGAAGGGATGCAGAATAACGTGTTAAGCCCCAGAACTGGTCACTTCAGACTTTTGTTTTTCCAGAATTCATTGTAACATGGACAGTGCTCCTATTGCTCTTTACACGGATATAAGGCTTGTTTCTTTTGAGTTGCAATGTAGCTTTTTTTTTTTTTTTTTTTTTTTTTTTGCCTGCCCTAAATTCACTTAATTTTCACCTTAATCTATTTCTTTTTTTCTGTGAGGCTACCATGTTGCTGTCTCAGCAATAACAGTGAGAAGTTGAAAGAAGTTAATCATACTGTGTGGCTCAATGCCTTATGGTTTATTATTAAGAATAAAGACAAGTACTCCACTATTTTATCTCTAATGTGCAGTTAACTTAATTCATAATCCTCTAAAGAGATGGTGTTCTTCCTAATGCTTTGGCTTCTGCCTTGCTTTCAAGCAGCACATGACACTTAAAAGCTAAAATGCTCGGTGCTGAAAACATTTTAATAAATGCATGCATAAGTCAGTCCTCATTTGTTTAAAACATTCAGGGAGAGTTTTCTTTTTACTGGAGTGCCTGGTTGAAATTAATGCTTGGGGGCTGCTTTCCTGTTCCTCTTGTGCTATTGACTCATGATGCAGTGCAGACAGACACCCCTGGACGGATACATTATTAGCTTAGTTCTCTGCTCTAAGCATTGTTAACTGCCTAAAATACCTCTTTCTCCCTGTCTGCTAGTTCTTTTCTTAGCCCAGCCTCCTCCTCCCTATTATTTTCATAGTTTGGTGCTAGATCTGACTGAGCATTCGCTGAAGATGTGTGGGTTGTGATACAAGTTAATAAGCCTCTGCAAGCAGTTAGTTCTTTACAATTATAGTTTTCTTTATTTTGAATGTATTGCGGTGCAATGATATTCAATAAACAGCTCAACAAGCTTCAGCTGAAGAATTTTGGCACTGTTGAGCTTTCAGTTGTGGAAAAACTTGTGCTTGTCCCTGTTAACTCTCCGTCTGTGAGCCTGGGGTGCAAGTTCCAAAAGTATTCAGGCAACATCCGTGCTCAGGTTATGTTCTCAGACTGCTCGTAGATGCCAAAAGCCGGTTGTTCTGGAGTTTTGTTTTCACTGTCTTTCTCTTTTGGATATGTTCAACTTCAGCCTCTTTCAGTCGTGCTGGTTTATCTTGCACATTCATCTCGCTCCACTCAGCTAATTGGATTAATGCACTCAGTGTATTTACTGTGCAGTATTGATTTGACAATACCAATCTTTTACTCTTAACCATCTCATATTTTCATTGGCCTCAAGCAGCCTCACTAAATGTTCCTCTGCCCCTGCCTTTGCACTTGGCTTCATGTATAAAATCTTAGCAGTGATTAAATCCCCTGGAGCTGTTGAGGCTCTGTTCTGCAGGCCTAGCAAGCCTGACTGACTTCATGAGCGCTGGAGGCTAAGGCAGAATTGTTGGATATTGCCCCACAGCTCTTCATAGCCTCAGTGCTGACATAGGTGACCTCCCAACATTTGAGGCTTGTCTTTTTGCAAGTGTTTAGTCACTTGTGTGCTTAGTTTTGGTGCCTTCTGGGGAGGCTAAATACCTCAAATATTTGCTTGCCTGTGCTTACTTTTCAATGTTCAAACTTCTAACAGGAGCTCAACATCCAAACTCCCTGGCGACCTGTGCAAATCACTGCCTAAGTGTCTAAAGCATGGAAATCTTCCACTTCTCTAGTGTCGAGAATTGTTTGCAGTAAGATAATTTCTGTGCCCGAGACTTTATCAGTGACTTGACAGGGATTATGGCAAAACACAGCATGTGCCGATTGCCTCTGTGAAGAAAGGTGCTTGCTGCTGGACAGTCAGATGTGTAAGTTCAAGTATGTGTGTGCTCTGCTTCACGTATACCTTCCTTTTGACCCCTGATTTCTGAAAAAGCATATTCATTATTTAGTCTAGAGTTGTGTGCTTGGCTGGGCAATGGTCTTCCCCACCTGTTTTCTCAACTGAACTGTGTCTGGGAGGCTGATTCACCACAAGGCTGTGCTGCCATTCAGGGAGGCCCAGGCAGGCTGAGAGCTGGGTGCAGAGGAACCTGAGGAGGTTCTACAAGAGCAAGTATAAGGTCCTGCACCTAGAGAGAAATAGTCACGTGCATCAGAGCAGGTTGGGGGCTGACCTGCTGGAAAGGAGCTCTGCAGAGAAGGACCTGGTTGTCCTGGTGGACAGCAGAGAATGGGAGGCAAAAGTGTTGTGCCTGCTCTTTTTAGTGTTGATCTAGTATTTTGGGAACAGGGTTTGCCCCCACTCGCAATGGCTGTACAGCTCAGAGACAGCAGAGATAAATGCACTCGGAAGCAGGGAGTGCTCCAGGTGTAGGCAGTTTTATTTTCTGTCTCATTGCAGTTGTTGGAGAATGTTTTCATTATACTGTGGCAGTTGTAAGACGCTACCTTGGTTTGACAGCTTCTGCACCAGCTCACTACTCTCATCACACAGGTTTCTTTTAATTTCAACATTTCACTTGTCTGAGATCCAAAGCTGTAGCATGAGGAGAGGGGACCATCAGAAAGAAATGGGCTGTGTGCAAGGGTGTCTGGGACTGCTGTCACAGGGATACCAAAGGAAGATGGGATGTGAGGGGACTTCTTGTGTGTATGTTTGTGTGCTGTCTTACAGCACATTGACTTAAATTTCAGTTAAACAAGAATCCTCTTGAGGCTAAAACTGTAACCCAGGATTGTGAAGTTCTTATGGTATTTTGCTTGTATTGGTGGGAAGTCAGAGCCACTAAATCTTCCTGGAAACTGGCAGAGAAGTTGTGATTTTAAAACAAACAACCACCAAAAAAAAAGAAAAAAAACCTCCAAACAAAAGTAAAACAGAAACAAATGCAAGTCAGAGAAGAAAAGGATCCTGAGATCCCCTGCTTGCCTCTCACCCCATCCACAAGCTGAGTAGCTTCATACCTCCTTCAGAGCGAGAAACTGAGCCCATGCAACCCCCCTGGAGGTGGTTGC